ATATATATATATATTATAAATATTATTTAATTTATATTATATTTATTTTAAAATATTTCCCATTATAATTTTATTCGAAATATTATGATATTTATTTATATATGTTTTATTTATTACAGTTATAATTCCAAATAGAAAAAAAAATTCCACAGAAAATCATACAGAAAATAAATGCTACACCTCCTATTCTTATATAAAATTATACTAATAATCGGTTAGTGGTTTTGGTAGGAACATTGTAATTTCGTGTCTATTGTACACATGCTTAGCTGTCAGCTCAGACTGAGAATAGAATATATTTGTTATGAAAGGTGTTAAATAAAATTATTTTTCTTTTCCATCTATTTTTAGTGAAAATAAATATTAAAATTTACTTCAATTTTATTCATAAATATTTATGTTCATAATCTAAAATCTACAAGCCTTTGACTGAATAGGTTAACAAATCTAAATCCATATAAGACATTTTTATATAACAATACATTTTCTTCGGATTGAACGTGACACGTCAACAAAACCATCAAATCTCAGAAAGTTGCATACTGGCATGAGTAACAACTTAACTACCTGATAATCTACGATCTTTTCTATAAATCACGGTTAATATTAACAATGAGAACAATTATTATACATTTAAATCTACCAATCGAATATGTTTCTCCAAAATATCTATAGGATAACTATTGAAATTTAATCTCTGTTCGGAAGATTTTATCATGTTCAAGAAAGATGAAATAAAACGGATATATTGTTTACTTTCTTCTATTCTCTTCCATTCGTGTCATCAAATAACAAAATGAAATAAATAAATAGACACCTTCTTTTCTATATAAATTTTTTCCACCTCAAATATTTCGTTAGAAAACAAATGATTTGTAAAGTAAAATATATTATATTCAAAAAATTAAATCTAAACAGGAAACAAAAATGTTATTCTTAAGTTTCAAGGTTAATAAAAAAGATTTTGTTAGAAAAACATCAATTTCTTTCTTACTTCTCTTTATTTCTTTTTTCTTCAAAAAATTTCCTACAACATAAAAGGAATATTAATGCCAGATTATTAACCATGCGAAAAATATCCGAATAGAATTATTTATTTGGAGAAATATCATTTCCGACAGGTGACAACGATATTTAAGTAAGCACGCTCATTTTACTTTCTCTAATTCAACATTAATCGTGAACCCTAAATTTCTCTCAACGCGGCGGCATTTTAACAATAGCTTTTGCCCTTTTGCTCTTTTGATAGGAGCAAACAGAGAACTCTTCGTTCTTTCTCACTTGCACGTTCACATTAAAAAGCTTAACAAGAAAGCAAGAGTCAATTTCAAAACGATTTCGAGAATCTTTCCATCTTTCTCTTTCTTTCTTTTCTATCTCACTCTAACTCACTCACTGCAATGTAATATCTACTCGTGCGCGCAACAGTTCATCTTTCTCCCACCGTGAAAAGTCCCGAAAAGGAAAGGATCCGTAATAGACAACGAAGAGAGAGAGAGAGAGAGAGAGAAAACGAAAGGGGAGTTACTCGACCATGAAACGTCAAACTAAACGGCGCTGGGAGTTTCAAATACGCGAGACTCCCTTTCTTCTTCTCAGTTCCAACACACAGGGAAAAGACACATAGTGTACAACCCCTCGAAAGACACCCTCTTCGTGACACTTACACATGCCGTTTTATCCTCATATACTTATATACACAATACATTAATACAATACAAATATACTCACATATATACTTACTTAAATGTATATATATATATACATAAATCCCAACACATAAATAGAATGATGCAAAAAGGGCATAATGGAGGCCTGGAAGTCAGATAGGTGTACATAATGAGCCTAACAGGGGAAGTAACTCGAATGTGGAGAGGTAAGACGAGACAGTAGTGGTGGTGGTAGTTGTAGTGGTGGTGGTATTGTCGCGTAACTCGAGGAAGGGAGGATGCTACCGATAATGGTGGTGGTGGTGGTGATGGTGGTGGTGGTAGTTGGGCTTTTAGGGGAGGTGGTTGGAGGCTCCCCTCATCCACGAACGCATCTGCCCCATTATGCTGCCCTGGGGCACTCCCGAGACCATTAATCCTCGCTAAACGACAGCCATTTTGTACCTAAACTGGATTGCCGACTCACTAACTGGTTTTGAGGACGCTTAATAGACTACTCTCTTACTCGCTCTCTCTCTCCCTTTCTCTCTTCTATTATAACCATCGAGCATCCTTGCTATATTTCGGTGTCGTTTATTCGCCCGCTAATGTGAAAATGGGAGAAGGGCAAAACTCTCCCCCTCCCTCTCTTACCCTTCTTACCATCTCACCCTCTCTCTTTCTCACTTACTCTTATTCTTATTATACATTGCTAGTACATCCTCACGAAAAGATGATAGAAAGAGACAAGAGTGATCTCGCGCGTGCTTCTTTTATAAGGTAGTAGTAGTAGTAGTCACTTTATTCTTTGAACAGGAACGAATGTAGAATTAAGTGGAATAAACTGATCCTCTTTTGTAATACGATGAGAGTCAACTGGTAGAAACGTTTTCTTTTTTAGAAAGACTGATCTATTTTTATCTTACGTCATTGTCCTTCGTTTAGTTTCGTTTCGTTCCGTTTCAGTCGTGTAGTTTACTTTTGGTGTTAAAAGAGATTTCTATAAAAAATATTTGACAAAAGAAACATATGAATAATGGGGTATAAATTTGATTTGGTTGAATTTAATATCAAACAGAAACGAATGATATTGTTCAAAAATCATCTCTTCCTAGATCATGGGGACATCAATAAAAAAAGGATTTTATTGGCTTTAAAATGATCGTTGACGTTTCAACAAAGATTTCCTCGTCACGTAAACTCTCTTGATAATTCGTTGAACAAAATTTTCAATAATCGGATTGGTTAACTGTGAAAAAGAAGAAAAATATTCAATCGAATGATCGTCACGTTTTGCTTTTGACGTTTGTTGTGTGTCAATCCCGTGGGAGGTAAACCGTAGGCATAGTATAACTGTCAAAATAAAGATTGTTAGAATCTAACTTACCTATCGGATTAGGTTAATCCTTAGTTATTGTTTGCCTATCTCACAAATAACATTGCTTAGAATCATGGTAACGCGTCGGCGTTTGAATTTACTATACTTCGTGAGATTTTCGCAGGATTTTACAATTAACGTTGCGTTTGCGGTAACATAAATCGTTACTGATTATAATAGTAAATGACTTAGAAAGTTAATGAATTTGTAACGTCGTTCACGTACAATATTCATTCAAATTAAAGCTAGTCGTTCAAAAAAGAATATTACGGGAATGTGATTAGATGATGAACGCGATCATCGAGAACGTTGGGTGTATTGTTAAACGGTTCAAGCATTAACCATCGCGATCATCGCTAATGATTGAATTTATCTCGAGCTGCGAAATGATTACCGATTCACTTCAACGTGACACGGGTGGGTATCGGCACGTAGCTGAGTAAGGGTCCCCATTCATCCTCAAATCCATCGATATATTACGATCGGTAATTTTTCACTATACCGTCGCTCGGCTTTTATAATACCTAATAGTCCCAACCGATCTCGACCTTTTCCTCAAGAAAGAGAAAAGATTACGGAGCCGATCATTAATCTCAGAGTAACCTCCTTGTCAATAGCTAATTTGGCTTTATCGTTAATCAACCGTCTTAGACCTCGCGTCGCCGTATTAAAAGTTGTGAGAGTGTGTGTATGTATGAGCGTGTGTATGATAGTATTCAGCAAAGTTTACATTATGATACTAACGCTTATTGTACTTCCTCTCAATATCAACTAACGAATCGATCGGTAACGATTCTACAAAATTAATTATCGTTCTATACTCAACGATAATACTCACTTGATTCCAGAAGACATCTGAGGATAGTGCGTATTTCTCTACCAGAAAGCTAACGCCTGTGTTTAATAAGCGTACCTAAATAGGATGATAAGATCATTAAAAGTAGAAGAGAGAAGAGAAAATTAGAGATAAATATGGAAAGGGATAGAAATTGAAGATGGAAGTTGAATGCTCAAAGCAAAACAGAGAAAGCGTGCTCAATATATATATATATACACACACATACACAGAGAGCCAGAGATAGAGACAGAATGGATGGAAGCAGAAACACAGACACACATACACATATATACACCTTTCGGATTGCCAATCAATTCGCGCATCGCGCGCCCGGGAATTAGACAATTAGGAATCGTCACGTTCCCCGAACGTTAGCCCGTCGTCGGGCTGGCTCGACGTCATCCTCGTTCCGCTCCACCCTCCACATCTCAGGATTCCCCACCACGTTTCATACAGGAGCTTTCATCCCTTCCAATAGAGAAAGTAATGCGACTAGTAAGCATCAGCGCCCCCAATGAACACCGCAACGCCACCTGCCGATCAAAATTCCTCCTGTACCTTTCTCGCTCACTCTTATACCCTTAGAATATTCCGCTGAATCAGGATTGGTCGAATTTCTTTGGAAGGTAACGCCTTCTCTTGAAACGCCCGCCGTTCAACTGTACATCTTCCGATTGGTCGAGAGCTCAACAACCGTACCGGTTCGACTGGTTTCGCGGGGGCAGCCCACAACCGGTGGCACCAGCACGACGACGACGTTTACCGAGTTTACTAGAGAAAAGGAGAGAGAACACGCATGACCAAAGGAGAGAGAACGAGCTCAAGTCGGGCTCTCCGTTGCGGCTTCAACCGAGCTGGTAATCAGTGCCGTTTCCGCGCCAGCAGCGGCTACCACGCGCCCAGATTATTTTGGATTACGCATTTAACCCGTGGGGACTCGACCTGCCTAGCCGGTCTTCTTTCTTTCTTTCTCTCTCTCTCTCTTTCCCTCTTTCTTTTCTTTGCACTTTTTCATTTCGTTCTTTCTCTTTCTTTCTATCTCTTTCTCTTTCACATACACCATAAACACAAAAACTCTATTCGTATTATTTTATTCTATGTTCTGCCTGTGTTTGCCTAATAAATCCTAATCATCACCAATTTGTCATTTAACAAGTCTACGCGTTACTTTTTCTTCCTTCCACGACACTTTTTGGATTCACCTTAGCGCCAACTTTTCGTGAGGATATCAGTGCTCGAATGTCTATTGGAAAGAAGATTGAAATCTTAACAGGGACTGTGTGACAGTGCTGATAAGAATTCTCTGCAATGCATCCAACTGATATGCTCTAATTAATTGTCCTGGATTCCTTCATAATGATTCCGCTATATTTTATGAAATAACTCTCACAAGGATCGATTACATTATAACGATTATTGTATGATAACTAGTCGCAAAATCGGTTAATGCAATTATCCGAATTGATAACAGTAATGATTTGCATTGTGGTTTTTGATAAGAGACACTGTGCGCCTAAGTTTCGGATGTTGCTACGTTCTAACACGACGAAATTGACAGAAACAATTCAGTGAATTGACTGACAGTTGACAAACTATTCTGAAAGTAATCGTGAATAAGGAAAGAATGAAAATATCAAAGTGTTAGGACTATTTCAAATTACAAAAGACCACTAATCAATTGGTGAGATTCACGAGTAGAGGAATCTGAACTGTCAAGAAAGAAAAACAACAATGAAGAAACCAGAATTAATATGTTACAAATTGACATGCATCTTTCCTGGATCGTAACGAGGAATTTGATTGAATATTCGCAAGATAAGAAAGTATAAAAGATCGATAAAAACAAATAAAAGACCGTCGGCGAAGACGCCTCGGTTTAAAAACAAAAATTGGGAAAATCAAAAAGATTTATCAAAGAAAAGGGTTGAAAAATAATCGAGCTGGAGCGTAATGAGCAACAGCGAGGGTGTGGTGGCTGGCCAGGGTGCCGGAAGCGATCGTCTTTGCGAGGACGTCGACATGGCAACCCCGACGTCGGCGTCGTCAAATTTAAAACCAAGAAACGGTAAGATCAGCTTTAGCGTGGACGCATTGCTAAGCGGCACGAAGAAGTCTGCGGCTGCTGGTGTTGGTGGTGGTGGTGGTGGAGGAGGTGATAGAGGAGGTGAAAGAGGAGGAGGAGGAGGAGGAGGTGGAGGAGGAGGTGGTGGTGGTGGTGGTGAAAGAGGAGGAGGAGGAGGAGGAGGTGGAGGAGGAGGTGG